AAAAGAATTGCAATGGGAAAAGCAATTCAGATCTGGGATCGTCTCCTTCTCCCCATCTATGTTGTAACAATCCAATGATGCGAAGAACCCACACCAATTGAAGGCTGAATTTCCCCCCACGGTATTTCATCCTTTTTTAGCCCGTGGAGTCGCGCTACCACCCGCTCGGTAGGGGGTGGCGGCCTGACTCTTGCAGCAGAGTCACATTTTGATTTGATTTTAATATTCTTTATTTTATTCTTATTCTTTACGTATCCTTTACCATTGACTTTTTAATTTATTTTTCCAAAATAGAGTTGGCCCAGAACATAATTCCGATCCCGTCCAGACTCCCCTCGTGAACCCATTCCAACATGAACGAATGACTGGGGAAAAAAAAACATCCGAGCCTCGATGAAAGCCTATCCGACCAATTCAGATCTCTGTTGAATAATCATGGGAAATGCCGGTCCATATGCGCATACCCTGCTACAGCACCGGAAATACATGTAATGTACATCGTATACAATCTAGTAAGCTTCGGAGTAAACAAAGGTGATCCAGGGTTCAAGTGCGGAGAGCCGAGTTTGGGTCGGATGCCTCCCGCGGTAATTTAAGGTATATACGAGGTCATACACCCACCGCAATGTCTCTTCAGGGCTTGAGAACCACCCATCTGGTATCCTGTGAATTCCACATACCAAAATAACGCAAACGCAAAAAATCCCAGTTCCTGCGTTAGCGTCATGTCTGATCCTAGGAGGTCCCATTACTGCAAAGAAAATCACGTCCACTATAGAAGAATTTAATTTGGAAAGAAAAATCAATGGATCTTCTAGCAAGTAACTAATTTATGTGCAATACGTTTGTAGCTGTAGCCTCGAGTTATACATAAGACGTTATCAAGTTGTAGATATCGATACGGAGTACTCCGTACTCCGTACGGTGATCGGACTTGCATAATCAATCTGCTCTAGGTAGTCACATTTCCTCCCTGAACATCCCGGCCGAGTCTTCGCAAATGTTCCCTCCTCCCGGGGTGACTGGAGACCGGTGCTCTGGGTCAGGCGATCGAGCGCCTCTATCTACAAAAGTACGTTGTATAATGCTCCGTAGACTATTGACTCCTGAAGCAATTGAGTATGAACTATCCATAAGGAGTAACTGACAGTGTCTGACCAGGTTCCCCTTTCCGCTAGCACAGACTTATACTAGCGCGGGCGCATGGCTGTCAGCCAAGACAAAACTAAACATCAATAGTTGACAGATCCCCCGTCGATCACTCAAGGATCTGCCGAGCTTTTCTTCTTTATCTCTGTCTTTGAGTTGCGCCCCCTCTTTGGGCATATTTTGTGCCCCCTGTTATTCGGCTTCCTCCAGGCTCCAACCATATTCCAGATGTGTGACACCATCTTGCCTTTTCCCGGGGATCTGGTTGGACCCTGCTGGACAAGCGCTAAACGTCTTGAAATAAGAGGCTCCATGCACGCAAGTCACAAGGGTTGCAGCCCCAACTTTGTCCACCCCCTTAACATGCACATGCGCCTTAGGATGATCACTGCCCGGACATCCGGAGACTGCCCTTGGCGCTACGGTCTTTCTTTCTGTCTCAGCTTCGTTTCATCGCACGCTTGGTTTGGTAGTTAGACAGTGACATTGTACATTGTACGTTGTGTATAGTATGGAGTAGTATGGGGGATTTCAAAATATTTCACTTTGGCTGTTTAGAACCATTGACAGCAAAATTCAAGATCTGAGGGCGGCAAATCTTAAACTATGGAGTCGAGAGATCCCCGAACGTTTACCTTCTCACCTGGTAGGATCGCGTAGGAATCCAAACTCCGACTTCGTCGACACATGGATAGTGGAACCATAAGGCAACAATGACCCGGTCTAGCGGAACCTCTGCTCTAGCTGTAAGGCCAAAGAGCCCCCCTTCTCAATTGAGTGATCTACCTTTTGACTGCCCTATCTGTTAGCATGATCTGACCCAAAAAGCCGTCAACGCTAGAGTGATCCAAGGTTGATCATGCTCGGTGAGCCAGTCATATAGATCAGAACACGGCGGTTGAGTGATTGACACCAGAAGGGAATCCATCCGGAGAAAATTCCATAGCAAAGACCTTGTTTGAGACCACTAGCAGCTCCACGAAGTGGGTAGATCATATGAGAGTATCCGTACGGAGTCACAACGTGGCTCTTAGATTCCCTCAAACTTTGCATTGTGCTGCGCTTGCTCTATCATAGACGTGATTGTGACTACGTCAAAACTTAGAAGTCGGTTTCCCATTCAAGCTTCCTGTGCATCAGGGCGCGTATCGCTGTCCGCATATCACACCCGATGAGACTTCCGATGGCTTCATGACTCCTCCTTTGGGGGGATTGTGCTCACTTTCATCTTGGCACATCATGCCCCACCAACTCACCTCACAAAATGGTCTCATGGTCCAAAGTGATGGTGAAAACAGTACTCCGTACATCATAGCCAAACCCGAGAGGCGTGGACACGGGCCAGTTTGATATCATTCCAGTCCGGCCGAGAATCCCCGATCTCTAGTGGTTTCTCTTCCTTCAAATGCTATAGTAATATATAACGTACAGATTACGGAGCTTTAATACCTATCTAAGCTATTAGTTACAGTAATGTCGCACAGAGATCTACGGAGTACTTATGTGGTATATTGTAGTAAAAATTCGGGGGATCTGCCATGCGACCCCTGGGTCGATCCGTAACGTATTTCCAAAGTTCCCGCACGGATCCCTCTGCCCCATCCGACTATTGATTGGATCTGGTGTGAACCGTTACGCCGGAAACACAATCTCAAATATCGGACCTTGTAATAACCACACGCCCATATGTGCAAAAACGAAAAGGAGAGAATGGGGCACAATTCCCCGCGAAACTTCATGTGATCGACAATGTGATAGCAAAATTAAATATCCCTCGGGTTTCAAACCTTCATAGATTGACGGTCAACTGGGGATCCTCCCGAGGTCGGATCCCGAGGTCATCCTCCACCCTCAGAATATGATATCGAACCCCTATCTACTCCGTACTCCGTATGGTGGCGCATGGCTTATGATTTTGTCGACTCGTTAACCAGAATATTTTAGGGGCCCGGAATATTTCGGTGATCAGAAGCCAGGTGGCTGAGCTGTACAGATCTGTCAATGTGATAGATCCCCGCGGCCATCCTCGTGTATCCCTTGTGGTGCTGAGAAAGGGTCTGTGGCGGTGCGCAACCATATCAAGCGCCCTGCATAGTTACGTTATAACCTTGGAATTACGTATTTCTCAAATTCGTGGGGCCAGTGCTCCAACTCGCAGAATAATCTGCAAAACTAGCCACAGAGGAACGGTCCGCAACATGATTGGACACGCCCTTCAACCCGGTGCATCCCCATGGTCTGGTCCAGATCTGAATTAGCAAAGTGCATGAGAATAAACCTGCTGTTGTGTGATGAGATTGCATTTGCCCCTCATCCGTCATCACACATCTTCATACAGATTACGGAGTACAACGTAATAGGTTCGTGGACGAGTAACCCCTCCAGTTTGGAGCAAAAGCGCTCTGCCACATCGCCTTTCTTAGTTCAGTCAATTGTGATGATATTCAGGAGCCTGCATTCGAACATCACGTCTTCCTGACCAATGCGCGGGATGTAAGCTGGCCCCCTTGCATGCTGTCCTCACCGGCCGAGTGGCCTTCCTCGACACCATTGGACAGAACATTTGCTCCTGTCCCAGGCTTCCCCCAGTCAGGTAGCTAGGTTGTGTTCATCCCAAAGGCCACTTGCCCCACCAATGACATCTGCACAATGCTCTTGTTCCAAAATTGCCCGGACGAAAGGTATCCATATCCTCGTGAGCATCTAACCCCTTCCCCGAAAGAGCTGGCCGCAGCTGCAGAGTTTTCTACAGCTGCAGGCAGCAGAACGCGCAGCCCCAATAAAAGCAAATCTGGGATTACTTTTTTCCAACCCTGAAGTCACTCTCCACGGCGATACATTTCCGTACTCACGGTCTGGTTCCATATCCACCCAAGGCTCAAGCGTGCATGAACGGTAGTTCGCGGGTTCGCCCTGCCCGAATGATTGGATCAGATGCGAGTAGCAGGTACATTTGCATGCTGTAACGCCCTGCCGAAGAAATCCGGCTTTGGGCTGTAAGGATTGCGTTGCTGCATACCGACGAAAGGTGTCCGCCACGCACGCCATGGTCGTCTAGGGCGTCCAGTCACCGTGTCAACAGCTATACAGCTTGATCCTTGCCGGCCGAATCATATAGACGAGCGACCATCCTTGTTATGAGACCTGTCGGCTATCATTAAACAAATCCGTGCTTCATACCGCAAGATAGCATCGCCGATTCGTGTGCAATGCTGGGATGAACTCCATATCTGCTTCAAAGTATCTACACATGGTGGGTTGTATGTGGAACTCGCGCATACGTACTTTCTACTTGCATCTTGCACCTTGCCTGGCCCGATTACATCCCCGGCCGGGGATCCAGCTGAGCTGCTTCAAGACTTTGTATCTTTGTACCGTTTCAGGATATGCAGATTCTAGTGCTTGTAGTCGGGGAGCACCTTCGCCCGCTCAAAAGGCAATGGGCGTCAGAACCAGCTGCATAGCCTGAGACAGCAGCGAAAAACCCAGGTTCCCTCTCTACGTATACCAGGTACCGGTTTTCCAGCAGCAATGATCCTCGCCTTCCAGGGAAATACGAACATATGGTACACATTTGCCAGTTTACAAGTCCTCTAGCTCGACAAAACTTGTATACAAGCACCAAAACACTAAGGGTTGATGGCAAAGTGTAAAAGAATTTGAATATGTATATGTACTAATCCAACCTGTATGTAGTGCACGTTAATTCTAGAAAAGGCATGATATCTTTACCATGAGACCTTTAGGCTGTGCGTCCAAGCCCGAAGAAACCCATTACGCAGTTGCGAATGCAACAGTATATCCATGCCCATGCAGCAGCAAATCGGCGAAACCGAAATGACAACGACCATCTATTGGTACGCATTCTTGATCTCGATCTGCACCTGCCCATCAACAACCGCCTTGACCGAAATGCTCCTCAAATCTTCCACAATCCAATCCGCACCAGCCTCCTGAAGCTTCCGCAGTGGATGCGTCGTCGTCAACGCAATCACTTTGAACCCAGCAGCCTTACCAGCCTTGATACCAGACGGCGCATCCTCGAGTACGACAATCGAGGTTGACTCTTCAATGCCAAGCTGCTTCCGGCCTAGCAGGTAGCAGCGCGGGTCCGGCTTGCCGAGCGGCACGTCCATTGCTGTCACCAGGTTCTTGGGGTGTGGGAGACCGAGAACTTCCAGCCAACCGTCAATTAGAGGGCGCGTGCCAGATGTTACAACACCCCATCTTGCGCCAGAGGTCTCAAGCGCTGCGATGAGGTCGCGGCCGCCGGGGATCTCGACGGCGTCGGAGCCAAATTCTTTCGGGATGCGGCCTTCGATTTCATTGATATCTGTTGTGAAGGGATGCTGTCAGTTTATAGCCTATGGTTATGCTGCAAGAATGCGGTTGGTTCTGGGTATTTAGAATATCCGATAGACTTACAGCTCCAGTTGGCCTTGGTCTGATCGTATAGACCCATTACATCGATGCTGCGGCGGCCATGCGAGGTCGCGAGGATAACCTTGGGGTCGACGCCGAGCTCGTCACCAATCCTGAAGCACAATTTATGTCAGATTTTGTTCGCGGAGGCAATCCTGCAGTGGATTCATGACTCACTTGTGCCAGTGCTTCACAATTGCTGTTTGGCACCGGATGGTTAGCATTGGTTCCAATTATCCTAGGAGGACTCGAATGGGGATTGAATACCATCAGTCGAGTCTACAATGGTACCATCGAAGTCAGAAAGAAGACCATCGAATGTGTGGATCTGCACAGGCGCGGAGAACGATCCTGTTGTTGAGGACATGGTGGGGGAATGGAGATGCGGGGAGAGTTGATGCGCGCGGAGCCAATGGTGAGTAGATGGAGAAGCCGATGTTGAGTGAAAGACGAGGAGAAATCCGGTGAGAATTTTCTCAAACGTATCAACAATAAGATAAATGAGAACTTCAAGGGAAGAACACAGAAGATAGGGCGTCTTCAAATATATTTCTTGCTTCCCCGAGGCCGGTAACATACCTAATTTGGCAACCGTCCCGCAAGCTTAGTCATTTGATATTTCTCGGAGATCGGCCCAACCACTAATCCGCTTATCGGCTGGGAAATCTTGGCACTCAACTTTTTCTACACCCGTTACGGACAGACTTTGAGGGTTTGCTGTGCACTCTTTTTTGATCGACAAGTACGTACATTCAAAATGGTTACCAAGAGTGGTTTCGGTATGATACTATTTTTCCCACTCGTTCACGCGGTCCCGAGGCGCAATTCTAACAGTCTATAGGCAAGACTTCCAAGCGGGTTCCCGTCCGCCTTAGGCACAAGATCGAAAAGTCTGCCGTTCAGAAGCAGAGAAAGCAAAAGAAGCTCGCGAAGAAGGTATTTCAGACAATATTTCCATGATGGTTCTGATCGAAGGTTCTGACTCTTATCTCTGCAGAACCCTGAATGGCGGTCAAAGCTTAAGAAGGACCCCGGCATTCCCAATCTCTTCCCCAACAAGGACAAGCTCCTCCATGACATTGAAGAGCGGAAGCGCATGAAGGCTGAGGAGCAACAGCGTATTCGCGAGGAGGCACGGGCCCGTAAGGCTGAAGGCCTGCCCGCGAAGACTGGCACTGAGGCTGTCGACATCGACGAGAACGATATTATGGATGATGATATGGATGTTGAGGGCAATGATTCGAACCCAATGGCTGCTCTTCTCGCCTCAGCACGTGCCCGTGCTGTAGAATATGATGATAACCAAAGCGAGGACGAAGACATGGAGGAAGATGAAGACGATGATGATGAGATGGACGAGGACGATGAGGAGGGCGGCGCAACTATTGACGAATCTGCCCCGCCTTTGGTCAATTCAAAGTCTTACGCAAAGGAGAGCTCACGACGCCAATTCGACAAGGTGTTCAAGCAGGTCACCGACAACGCCGATGTCGTGCTATATGTGCTCGATGCCCGAGACCCCGAGGGCACCCGCTCTAAGGATATTGAGCGTGAAATCATGATGGCAGACGGTGGCAATAAACGGTTGATTCTCATTTTGAACAAGATCGATCTGGTTCCACCGCCAGTGCTCAAGGGCTGGTTGCTTCACTTGCGCCGCTCCTTCCCCACTCTCCCCCTTAAGGCATCCAGCGGCACCACTGCCAACGCACACAGCTTCGACCACAAGCAGCTGACGGTCAAGGGTACTTCGGATACGCTCTTACGTGCCCTCAAGTCATACGCCGGCGCCAAGCAGTTGAAGCGAGCTATCTCTGTCGGTGTCATTGGATACCCCAATGTCGGCAAGTCGTCCGTCATCAACGCACTAACCGCACGCCTGAACAAGGGCTCGAGCAACGCATGCCCGACAGGCGCTGAGGCCGGTGTCACCACTAGCCTGCGCCAGGTCAAGCTGGACAGCAAGCTCAAGCTGATTGACTCGCCCGGAATCGTCTTCCCCAGCTCCGGTGACAAGTCTGGCAAGAAAAACAAGAAGCAAGAAGACCAGGCGCGTCTGATTCTCCTCAACGCCGTCCCACCCAAGCAGATTGAGGATCCCGTTCCCGCAGTCAACCTCCTGATGAAGCGTCTATCCTCATCGGAGAACCTCCTCGCCAAGATGCTCGAGTTGTACGGCATCACCGCCCTCTTCCCCACCAATGGCGACAAGACCACCGACTTCTTGGTCCAGGTGGCCCGCAAGCGCGGCCGTCTCGGAAAGCGTGGTGTCCCCAACATCGAGAGCGCTGCCATGACCGTTATCAACGACTGGAGAGATGGCCGCATCCAAGGCTGGGCCACCGCACCTATACTGCCCGTGGTCTCGGCGGATGCTCCTGCTGGCAGTACGGAGGCTGGCGTCGACACCACAAAGGTCGAGGTTGTCACCGAGTGGGCCAAGGAGTTCAGTATCGAGGGTCTCTGGGGCAACGGACAAGGTGATGACGAGGAGATGGCTGAGTAGGGGCTGTTCTTCTTGCTCGCGTTATGAACTCATTATCTCATTTGATTCTATCTTTCTGGATACCAAAAAGTGGGCGTTTTATGTTGGCATTCCATCCTTCCCTCGGTTTGATCTCAATTTCAGTGGTATAAAAACGTCAGCAAAATGACTCTTTTTCCAAATAAACCCACCAAAACTGTAGATTGTAATAGATATTATTGTAGAAGTGAAGATCGAAATCATCATGTCGAAGTAGAGTAGACATCACCGCCAAGCCCCCACACTCGCGCATCGACAAATCCAACGCGTTGGCGCGTCTTCCTTGCAACCCTCTAACATTGCCCCGTCTCCAAAGGCCATAACCACAGCCCAACACTAAATACAACAACTAGGTCATTTTCAGAGAGAAACAATCAGACCTGACTCGATTCAGTATCCAAGGGGGGCCCAAATCGTCAACCCCCCGATCCCTTGGACCGCCCAACCCGCTGAGCACAAAGATACCTACTCGGCCAAACCTACGAAAATGCCACCTCGCAAGTCCACGTCCTCAGTGACACCCGCTGATCCCGATGATTCCCTACTCCAGCAGTCGCCACCAGCAACGCAGAGCGAGAAGCCCGTTTTTGCGACGGAGCAGCAGTTGAAGGCACGGGCCGAGGCGGGCGCGAGTGTCGAGGTAAGAAGACAAAGCCAGAGACATGAACATACATTATGTATTACAGGATGATACCATACCCATTGACTCCTTCATATGCGGCATGGGGAAAAAGAGAACCTGGTCCGGCTAACGCTATTCTCCGGTAATTTATAGGACTATCTCCTACCACGCTCCCTGACGATTCGTCTCGCCAAGTCGGTTCTCCCGCCGAATACGACGATCCAGAAGGACGCCGTGTTGGCTATGCAGAAGGCTGCTACGGTGTTTGTTTCCTATCTGTCTTCACAGTATGTTTTACCCTTTGCCCGCTGCCCTTCCGGGTTGCATTCGAGTCCTCCAGTTCAAATAGGGGGATGGTAATTCTCGATATTGTTCTACTCCATCACCATGGTATGATACGTTGAACTAACTCCCGATGCAACCGTAGCGCCAATGATGCAACCCTCAAACGCACTATCGCCCCATCAGACGTCTTCAACGCCCTCTCCGAGCTAGAACTCGACTCTTTTCGCGGCAAGCTCGAACAGGAACTGGAGGCATACACGGAAATCAAAGCCGGGAAGCGCAAGCCAAAGAAGGTTGATGAGAATGGCTCGACGCAGGATGCGTTAGGCGAGGGCGCGACTCAGGGCGATGGTGATGTTGAGATGCTTGATAATCCCGCGAAAAGGGTGAAGCGGGACGGAGATGTGGAGGTAGCTGTCGGTCCGCCTGCTGGGGATGATGGAGACGAAACTCAAGAGGAAGACGTCGAGGAGGAGGAGGAGGAAGAGGGGGGGAGTGAGGATGATGAAGAGGAGGAGGAGCATGCTCCGCGTGAGGACGATCTTGAGCATGTGGAGGATTTGGACCGTGAACCTGGTGCGAAGAGGGGGCCTTATGATCCCGATGCCGAGGAGACGGATGAAGACGAGGATGGGCCTGGTAGTCAGTTGCGGGATGATCTTGGGTTGGGCTAATTATCTAGGCCATGTGAAGGGGATTTATATGTGGATGAGCCAAAGACGACTCATCCTGGATAGTATTGGGAGTGACTGGTGAAAGAAAAGAATGCTTCTGCTGTACTATATACATAATGACGAATGGATTTTATGCTGCACCCTGTTGGTACTGTGTACTATATACGTGGATACAGTCGAAGATGATATGTATACATATATGCTTAAATATAGTCCAGAATATACATGCATAGTATATCAATTAACGACATGGGGTACAGTTGCGCAGCGAGTTTGAATAAGATATATTTATACATATCACATCGCAACCAACGCCCTACTACGCCGGATATCACGGAAACAAAGGAAAGACATAGAAGTCATATCCCAGGAGAACAAGGGAAAATGTATTAAAGGGGACAGCGCCTAAAAAGTTGTATGAGGGACTCAAATCGGGGATATCTCATTTAGATAATCCAATATGACCTCGGGAACACCCATGCAGATTGGCATGGGCGAAAAGAAGAATAGAAATAGGAATAGAAGAAGAATAGAAATAGGAATAGAAGAAGAATAGAAGAACAATTGAAACGAGGAAATCCCATCACGCTGGAACAAGCCAGCTTCTTTCCCGAAAAACGCCCGAGCCAATCCATGCGAGAAACCGTGGTCTATCAATGGTATCTTTCGAAAAGAGGACAGCAATCATCAACCTAAAGCAAATGTAGGTGATGCAAGTAGGAATACAGTCCACGAAGAGGAAGCATGTAAACGCAAGTGAAGAAATGAAAACTCCAGAAGGGGATAGGGGAGCATTCCAAGGCAGCACTGGAGAGAATGAAAAAAAAAAAAAAAAAAAGAACACCGACGCCATTTAG